TATGCCTGCCTGCCTGCTGCCATGTTTCTCACCACTATGATCATGGCCTAGCCCTCTGAAACTGTAAGCAAGCCCCTAATTAAATGATTTCTTTTATAAGTTGCCTTGATCATGGTGTTTCCTTTCAGCAATAGAACAGTAACTAAGACAAATACATCATTTTCCTCCCTTCCCTTTCCTCCCTCTAATCTTTCCCATGTATTCCCCAACCCCTGGATCTCTCTCAAATTCATGGCCTTCTTTTCTCAAATTGTTATATTGTCTCTCACACACACACACACACACACACACACACACACACACACACACACACACACACCTGCTCAGTCCATATAGTATTACTTGTACACATATGATTTCAGGCTTGATAACTTGGTACTGGATAATCAATTGGCATTCTCTTCCCTGGGGAAGACTATTTCTCCCACTCTGAGCTCTCCTTAGCTGCTTTATAGTTTTTGTGTAGGGTTGAGGCCCTATGAGCTTTCCCCTTTCCATGCTAGCCTGTCTGTTGGTGTGATACCTGTTCAGGTCTTGTTTAGGCAGCCATGTTAGTGAGACTGCATGGGTGTATCTTCCCTGACATTTCTAGGAGACATACTATTACAGAAAAAAGTTCATTTGGTTCTTCCACAATGACCCCTGAGCCTCAGGCATAAGAATCATGTTGCAGATGTATCAGTTGAGGCTGGGCAGCACACAAATCACTTGCTCTGTGCATTTTGATTGTGGTTTTCTGCAGTAGTCTCTATCTGCCAAAAGGAAACATTTCTTTGATGAGGGGACACCTATACTTACCTATGGGTCTAAGGACAGATATTTAGAATGTAGCTAGAAATTGTGCTGGTTTAGTAAATTGGTGGTTGTAGATTCTCCTTTAAGATCCACACTTCAGTAGCTTTGGGTAGTTGACTAGGTTTCCTGTGCCAGCATGATTTCCCTCTTATTGAGTGGGTCATAAGTCCACTTAGAGGGAGGGTTCTTGGTTACCGCCAAGGTATGTGTACCCCTGTTACACTCTTAGGGTTGTGGTGCCATGTTGGTCTTTGTTGTGGTTTATAGGCATCATAGTGTACCCCTGTTACACTCTTAGGGTTGTGGTGCCATGTTGGTTTTTGTTGTGGTTTGTAGGCATCATTGTGCACCCCTGTTACACTCAGGGTTGTCGTGCCATGTTGATCATTGCTGTGGATATTGCTCTGTATAAATAAAATGCTGATTGACTAATAGCCAGGCAGTAAGTACAGGCGGGACAAGCAGAGAGGAGAATTCTGGGAACAGGAAGGCTGAGTCAGGAGACACTGCCAGCTGCCACCATGAAAAGTGAGATGTAAGGTACCAGTAAGCCACAAGCCACGTGGCAACTTATAGACTAATAGATATGGGTTAAATTAAGATATAAGAACTAGATAATGGGCTGGAGAGATGGCTCAGAGGTTAAGAGCACTGGCTGCTCTTCCAGAGGTGCTGAGTTCAATTCCCAGCAAGCACTTAGTGTCTCACAACCATCTCTATTGGGATCTGATGCCCTCTTCTGGCATAAAAGTGTACATGCAGATACAGCAATCATATAAAAACAAATAAATCTTAAAAAAAAAAAAAGAACTAGATAACAAGAAGCCTGCTGCGGCCATATAGTTTGTAAGCAATATAAGTCTGTGTGTTTACTTGGTTGGGTCTAAGCGGCTGCGAGACTGGCGGGTGAGAGAGATTTGTCCTGACCATGGGCCAGGCAGGACTGGAGAAAACTCCAGCTATAGATCATTGTTGTACTTTGTAGGCATCTTAGCTGGGTAGAACTATTAGTTGCTTCTCTTCCTAGGAAACTTGCATGGAACCTTTTGGTCCATGAAAGACAGTCTTTTTTTTTGTTTGTTTGTTTGTTTTTCAAGGAAGGGTTTCTCTATGTAGCTCTGGCTGCCCTGGAACTTACTTTGTAGACCAGGCTGGCCTCAAACTCACAGAGATCTGCCTGTCTCTGCCTCTCAAGAGCTGGGATTAAAGGTATGTGCCACCACCACCTGGCTACCATGAAAGATAGTCTTAAGGGAGGAAAATTTTAGGTTAGATTCAGCTTAAATTCTTTGGGTCCTATGTCTGAAGAATATGGTGTCTTCAGCAGTAAGGATTTACCTTTCACCCCTGGGAGGCAGTCAAGGGCAACATCAATAGCCTATGTTTTGGGAGTCTCTTGGATAACCCTGACTGGCAATTCAAAAGGTGGTCTCTCATACCTATGGCTCTTGGGGGAGGCAATGTCAGCCCAGATGAGAAAAACTTCATTTAAACTACACACACACACACACACACACACACACACACACACACACACACACACACACACACAGAGAGTATCGTATTATATGCAATTTTAAGTGAATAGATTATATGATCCCTTATGACTTTTTAGACATCCTTAGTTATTTTTCCTTCCTTCTTCCTTGGTATTTATCTTTCCCTTATTAGATCTTGTTAGACTTCCCTAGCTTACCCCATCTCCCCAGTCAGACCACTTGTGATACCACCTCCTTACTCTGGCAGTGGTCCCTTTTCACTGTCCTGGTTTCTACAGTTAATCCAGGCTGTGTATTCACATCTGAAGAGCTGGGCCTAGGAACCTCAGATGAGTGAGGACATGAAACGTTCGTCTCTCTGGGTCTGGGTCACCTCACTCACTCTGATCTTTTCTAGTTCTATCCATTTACCTGCAAAGTTCATGGTTTCGTTTTTATTTAAAGCTAAACAGGATTCCATAGGGTATACCCACCACATTTTCATTGTCCACTTTTCACTTGAAGGGCATTTAGGTTGTTTCCATTTCCTAGCTATTGTGAACAGAGCAGCAATGAACATGGCTGAGTATCTGTGGAGTAGGATGTGGAGTAAGTACTTGGAGCATATACCAAAGAGCTATATTGCTGGATCATTTGGTAGACTTATGTTTTGGCTTTTTGAGGGTTCCCTATACTGATTTGCTAGACCAATTTTCAATCCTACCAATAGTAAACAAGGGTTCCTTTGTTCCCAAATCCCTTCCAATACTTATTTATTTATTTGTTTATTTATTTATTTACTGTCAGTTGTCTTCTTGATTCTTGGCATGACTGGGATAAGATGAAATTTCAAAGTTGTTTTGATTTGCATTTCCCTGATTGCTAGGGATGATGAACAGTTTTTGAAATATTTCTCAGTCATTTTATTTCTTCTTTTGAGAACTCTCTGTTCAGATTCCAAGCTCATTTTTTAAAAAAGAGTTTGTTGGTTTTTTTTTTTTGGCTCTTTAGTTTAATTATTTGAAATATAATATAATTTATATTTGTATTATAATAATTTACATTATTATAATATAAATATATTTATATTAATCCTCTGTCAGATGTATAGCTGGCAGAGATTCTCTTCCATTCTGTGGCCTTCCTCTTCTTCAGTTGATTCCTTAGTCGTGTGGAGCTTTTTAGTTTTATGAGGTCCTACATACCAATTGTTAGCCTCAGTTCCTGGTCAAATGGACCCTCCACATTCCTGTGTCTGTAGGCCTGGGTGAGGCCAATGACTTTTCACGTCTAACAGCCTGCGAGGTGGTGCTGAAATGGTAAATTCAGGACTAGTTTTCAAGGATATTTAAGAACAAATATCTAGACTATGCTACCTTTAAGATCTGGAAATACTCTGAATTCTGTGCTTCTGTAAGTTCTTGAGGGAAATATTACTAAGTCTTGGGCTTTTCTCCTGAAATCTTTTTACTCCATCCTCCCCCATCTATATTGTACAAGACTATCTGAGCCATCATCAAAGTGAGAAATCCACAGCATCTGCTTAAAGGGCAAGGGAATTTATTAGGGGAGAAAAACTCACTGTACAGAACAGAATTGTCTCAGGTTCTAGAATGCTAGGGCAAAGTCTCACGCTGTTCTAGCTGTTTGAATCAGTCCTGCATGCAAGTCCCATGAGGGAGTGAAGAGGAGACTGCCTATGTGCATCCCAGATCTTAAGGGTTGCCGAGAGGCCACGCCCCAGGGGCATGGACTTCAAGGTCATAAGGCAGGCAGAGCTGCTGCTTCTCTAGGGGTGGTGCTTCAAGGTCATAGACAGAACAGCTATCCACTACATCTCCCCCTTTTGTCTAAATAAGAAAGTTCTAACCTAATATAAAACTATATACAATAGGAACAATTATCAAGTATTGCCCAGGAAAGGGTAAAGGTAATAACGTAATCAAAAATAGAAACACAACCAGCAAGAAAAACATCAAACAAGAGACACATACTAAAATCCAGAGATATCCAGAACATAGGTAAATGGCATGTTACAGAGATAACTCCAATAGCTGGCCTATCTGTAAAAAATATAACTTTCGTATCTGAAATGATCTTAGCTAAGATATGAGAGGATCATAACTGTAACTATCTAGTCTTTAACCCCATCAAAGAACTGAGAAGGAACATAAAATACCTGAGAAAACAGAAAATGCAAGCAAACAATTTCCAAAAATTTTGCAAGAATAGACAAAGACAGCTGGCACCCTGGACAATCACCTAAAGTTTCTCAACACCATTGGGGCATCCAGTTTGGCTATGACCTAGAATATCTGTCAGACCATTTTCAGAAGCAGGAATTTTGAAAGACCATCTTACTGTGTCTTGGCAAGGTTCAGTAGTCACTTTTCCTTGTGTCCTGCTCGTCTGGAAAGGACAGCATTCATACTGTCAGCAGTTGAGGTAAGGGTGGTTCTTTGCCCAGCAGGCCATTTTGTGCCAATAAGAAGACAAACTTCCAAATGGAGTGTCTTAGAAGCCCAACATTCTCTCAGGAGTAGATTGGTGTTGCCAGGAGCAATTGTGTCTCATGTTAACAGAATTCTGAGTTATCAAAACATTTAGATGCCATATTCTCTAGGTCTATGAAGTGTTTGAAGTTTACCTATCCATCTGACATATGTTTCTGTAAATCTGGAAAACCTAACTAACATAACTATAGATATTATAAACATTGGTGACTATAGTTCTATAAGTCTTATCTACCTAAATAACCTAAGGACTAAGGCTTCACATTAACAAGGTAACCAATCTGTAAACAGATGTACAGTATAAGGACAAGGACCTCAAAATTGTGACAATATACAAAATACCTTAAACAGAGTATTAAATATATAGTACAATTTGATAACAATATCCTTAATATGTATCAATATATAAAATATCCCAAACAGAGGTAGAACATAATACAGTATGATAGATATAATTTTACACTTGTATCATATATAAAATATTTCAAATAGTAGGAACATATGTACAATATGATTATAGTTTTGAATTTGTATCAATATACAAATTATCTTAAATATGAATATGAAATGGTTTACATTTGTATCAATATATAAGAATCCATATCAGTGTAAATTATCTAAGGCTGAGAGTTTGCTAAATTAGTTTACTAGTAGATAAAAAAATCTACCCTAGCCGGGCGGTGGTGGCGCACGCCTTTAATCCCAGCACTCGGGAGGCAGAGCCAGGCGGATCTCTGTGAGTTCGAGGCCAGCCTGGGCTACCAAGTGAGTTCCAGGAAAGGCGCAAAGCTACACAGAGAAACCCTGTCTCGAAAAACCAAAAAAAAAAAAAAAAAAAAAATCTACCCTAATAAACTATTCCTATCTACTCCCCTTTTTTCTTTTCCAAAAAAGAATCCTGAGTCTAATTTTTATTTTTTATTTTTTTTATTTATTCTTTTTTTTTTTTGTTTTTTTGAGACAAGGTTTCTCTGTGTAGCTTTAGTGCCTGTCCTGGATCTCACTCTGTAGACTAGGCTGGTCTTGAACTCACAGAGATCTGCCTGGTTCTGCCTCCCAAGTGCTGGGATTAAAGGCATGCACCACTACCGCCTGGCTTCTAATTTTTGTTGTTCTACCCCCAACCCTATAACAACTTATCCATAACCCCGAGGGAAATGAAAACTTTTGGGAGAGGGGGACATCATTTTTTTTTAAAAAAATTGCTTCCTGCTGTTTAGGGGGTGACAGTATCTCTGTGGGATCCTGTAAGAAAGCTAAATGGTTAAATCTTAATAGGACTAGCTGTAATGTTTGTAGCCAGTCTCAGAGTAATGGGTAAAGTTATCTGAGGTTCTGGCTAGAAGTGTAATATGATGGTCCATCTCATCTTGGAACTGTCCTGAAGAGTTTGTAGTCCAAAGCCAATCATTGAGTAACATTCTTAGGTACAATGGCATCATTTTGGACCAGGTATAATTGTTGTTATGGGGTCCCATCTTTTTCCTGGGAACTTCAGAGATTGCTTGTATTTAGAGAAGGAGAGAGCCATATTCCAACTCCAAAGCTAGCTTGATTTATAATTGAATCAGGACCACAACTATTCTAGAGTTAAAGAGACATAGAAGTTAGGCATTAAGATATTACACTATAGAGACTATTGGTGCCAATAGGTCCTTTCCTTCTGTTGTAGATGTCTAGGTGTCCAAAGCCTTATGATTTCTTGTAGACAGGTATTTCTATTATCCTGTAAAGACAAAAAACATAACCCTGCCCTGACCCTTGTTTGTTGAGTTTTTCTTACAGCTTGTAGAGTTGTCACCACAGTGGATGAGCTGTTACTTCTCCTCATCAAGGGTTTTTTTCTGTTCAAATAGAATTTTTATTATTTTGTTGGTATCCATAGCTTTTCCTCTTCTGCAGAAACAAAAGCAAAACTTCTTTCCCAACATATGACATATCCTGATTTCCATTCCAAAATCAATACATCTTTGAAGTAAACTAGTTGGTTTAGCTCAGGAGTTTTTTTTTCTCTTGTCCAATGTCTTTCCATAGCTGTTATTCCTTTCTCATTAGCATTGAGAAAATTCAAGGTTAATAAAGCATTATGTACTCTATTTCTAGGGGTCATTGTTACCTCTTTTTGTTGATTTAGCATATCCTTTAAAGTTTGAGCAGATCTTTCTATGACTGCTTGGCCTGTGGGAGTGTGTGGTATACCTATAATATGCTTTATATTGTAACAAGCAACAAACTGTCTCATTTTATTGAGACATATGCTGGACCATTGCCAGTCTTAATTTGTATAGGTATTCCCATGATGGCCATAACTTCTAATAGGTGTGTAATTACAGAATCAGCCTTTTCAGAACTCATGAGTTGCCCATTGAAATCCTGAATAGTTGTCAAAGAAAACTTTTTCATTTATTTTACACACCAATCAAAGATCCCCCTCTTCCCTCCTCCTGCCCCCCAGCCTCTCCCTCTTAACCCAGCCCCACTCCCCCCACAATAAGGCAAGGCCTCCCATGGAGAGGCACATCCAGTAGAGGCAAGTCCAAGCCCTTCCCCCTGCTTCAAGGCTTCATGAGGTGTCCCATCATAGGTAGTGGGCTCCACAAAGCTTTCTCATGCACTAGAGATGGATTCTAATCCTACTGCCAGGGGGCCTCCCAAGCAGATCAAGCTACATAACTATCTTGCCACGCAGAGGGCCTAGTCCAGTCCCATGCAGACTCTACAGCCATTGATCCAACTTTCATGAGTTCCCTCTAGTGTGGTTTTGGTCATCCCTGCATGTTTCCCCATCATGATCCTGATGCACTTGCTCATAGAATCCCTCTTCTTTCTCTTTGATTGGACTCCTGGAGCTCTGTCTAGTGATTGGCTGTGGATCTCTGCATCTGCTTCCACGAATCATTGGAAAAAAGCTCTGTGATGACAGTTAGGGTATTCACCGATTTGATCGCTGGGGTAAGCCAGTTCAGTTCAGACACCCTCTCCACTATTTCTAGTAGTCCAGGCTGGGGTCATCCTTGGGGATTCCTGGCAACTTCCCTAGCACCGGGTTTCTCTCTATCCCCATACATAAGGGAACGGGATGGTTAAGCTAGAACAGGGAGGGAGGGGAAAGCAGTGGAAGTGGTGCACATATTTTAATCTTCCAAATTCTGCAAAATGAAACACACTCATCTGCCAAATTTCATTTCTTTGTAGACCTTTAGGATAGCTTCTTGCAGGGAATAGAATTTGGTTATAGAAAGAAAAAGTAGGATTTTTTTTTTATTTTTTTACAATTTTCTTGGCTTGTTGCCAAGTTATGGAAAAGTCCCTTTTTAAACCTTTGCTATTTACATTGTGTTTCTTATGAAATTCTGAGGCTTCTAGCACAATACCTATTAATAACCAATCACTCTCATCATTATCTTGTGCTAGAGGACCTGGCAGACCCATATGGAATCTGATATGTGATATATATATATATATATATATATATATATATATATATATAATGTTCCCTATTTCTGATGATTTTCTGAAATTGTATAAATAGTGAAGTTAATTCTGTATTATCAGGAATAAATTCAGCAGTTTTGATATGTAAAACAACTCTCTGAATATTAAGAGTCAGTAACTATATTGAGAGGTTCCGTGAAGTCCATTAGTACCATAAGAACGTCATACAGTTCTGCCATTTATACAGAACTGTAGGGACTTTGAACCATTTTATTTAAATCTCCTGATTTATATCCTGCCTGGTTTATTTGCATCAGAATAGAATATGGGGACTCCAGAGATTGTTATTTGCCATACAATGTGAGGAACGACCCATTCAGTTCTTTTTATGAATTCTATTTTCTTGTTTTGGGATAACAATTGTTAATCTCTACCAAAAAGTTACTGTAGGCTCTTTGCCAATATTCATTATCTTTCCATAAAGAGGAGATTTCCTCTTTAGTTAAAGGTACTACAATTTCTGCTGGGTCCATTCCTGTCAATTGATGAAGTCTTAATTTTCCTATTAGAATCAAATCAGAGATCTTTTCCACATAAACCTTTAACTTCTTACTAGGTTTATATGGTAGAAATATCCATTCCAATATAATATCTTCCCTCTGCATCAAAATCCCTGTGGGGAAGTGTCTGGAGGGGTATATGACCAGAATGCAGTTAAGTTCTGGATTCACATGATCCACATGTACCTCTCGTATTTTCTTTTTTATTCGAGCCAATTCCTTCTCAGCTTCATTTGATAATTCTCTTGGACTATTTACGTCCTTGTCCCCTTTTAGGGTATTGGCCAAATTTACTAGTCCATCTTCAGGTATTCCAAAGATAGTCTGTAAGTTGGAAATGCTTCCTAACAATTTTTGAAAATCATTAAGATTCTGCAATTGATCTCTCCTGAGTTGTACCTTTTGGAGTCTAATTTTTTTGTAGATCTATCTTATATATCCTAAGTATATCAGGAGCAATTTATAATCCCCAGAAAGGTAAAACACTCTTTACTTCTTCAAACATGCTTTCTAAAGTATCTGATTTCGGATCAGTTAATAAGATACCATCCATATAATGGTAAATTATAAATTGCCAGATAAAGTGAGAAATCCATAGAGTCTGCTTAAAGGGCAAAGGAATTTATTAGGGGAGAAAAACTCACTGTACAGAACATAATTGTCTCAGGTTCTGAAATGCTGGGGCAAAATCTCACGCTCTTCTAGCCACTTGAGTCAGTCCCACATCCAAATCCCACTAAGAGAGCGAGGAGGAGATTGCTTATGTGCATCTCAGGTCTTAAGGGTCATCAAGAGGCCACACCCCAGGGGCATGGACTTCAAGGTCATAGGCAGGTAGAGCAGTTACCTGCTGCATCTCTAGAGCTGGTGCTTCAAGGTCATAGACAGAACAGCTACCCACTACACATCATC